TCTTATGTTTTATATTCTTCCCTTCTTTGCTTGAGTAATTAAAAAAACAAAAAAAAAAATTTCAAAAAAAAAAGTTTCTACTTTAAAAAAAAAAAAAAAAACTGTATATATTTGTACTTTTTTTATATTTTCTTTTATTAACTAAAATAAAATTAACAAACCAAAACACTCTTCTATTGACATTTTTCGTTGTATTTGTTTGTTTGTTTTTTTTAAATTATTTATTTAATTTAGAATGCCTAAAATTCATATTACAACACCAATCTTTTATCCTAACGCTAAACCACATTTAGGTCATTTCTATACTTTAGCATTATGTGATGTTCAAGTAAGGTTTAATAAATTAAGATATTTTAACGATTCAAAAAGTAAAATAAAATTCACAACAGGAACTGATGAACATGGTCTCAAAATTCAAAATGCAGCAACAAAATTGCAATTAGATACACAAGCATTTGTAAATCAACTTTCATTAACTTTTAAAGATTTATGCTCCAAAAGCAACATTCAATATGATAGATTTATTCGTACAACAGACAAAGATCATTTAGCAGAAGTTGGTAATTTTTGGAAAGATTGTAAAAAAGATATTTGTACTGATGAACATAAAGGTTGGTACTCCATCAGTGATGAAACTTTTTACCCAGATAACTACATCAAAGAAGTATTGCCAGATGGGAAACAAATATCTATCTCTAATGATATTGATTATTCAACTATATCTGAAGATAGGGTTTTCATAAATACTGAAACAAACAATCAAGTTAAATTTTTTTTGGAACAAAATTATTTTTTCAAATTGGACAACTATAGACACAATTTGATTAGTCACATAGAACAAAATCCTGATTTTATTCAACCTTCCAAATACTCAACTACAGTTTTAAATTTATTAAAAAATGAACCCCTAAATAAATTATCTATTTCAAGACCATCAAAAAGATTGAACTGGGCTATACCTGTTCCTGAAGATCCAAATCAATCAGTATATGTGTGGTTTGATGCTTTGTGTAATTATTTAACAGTTTTAGGATCTATTCCAGAAATTAGAAACCACGCAAGTGAAGCTCATCAATTCATGCAAAATACTACTCATGTAATAGGTAAAGATATTTTGAAATTTCACTGTATATACTGGCCTATCTTTTTGATGTCTGCAAACCTACCATTACCTAAAAGAGTCGTAGTTCATTCCCACTGGTTGAATGATGGAGTTAAGATGTCTAAATCTTTAGGAAATGTTGTCAATCCTATTGAACATTTAACAAAATATGATTCTGATTCATTGAAGTGGGCTATTTTGCATAACTCCTCTGTAGAACAAGATGGAAACTTTAGAGACACGTATTTAAAAGATACCAGAAATGGAGTGTTGGTTAATAAACTTTGTAATCTAGTTAGTAGATCTAGTAAAAAATTCAATCCTAAAATTGCCATATGTAACTGGCAACCAATTTTCAAACAAAATGACTCAGATTTGAAAAATATTTTGAAGGAATTAAATGATAAAAATAATATTTCACCAGTATTACCAAACAGTTTATTGGAAATTGAACAAATTCTTGGCTGGCTTGAAAAAAATTACATAAAACAAATGGAAGCTTTTAATTACCAAGTAGTAACAACTAAACTAATCAATCTTTTAGATTTAGCAAATGAAATTTTCCAAGATATTGCTCCTTGGTCTATAAAAGATGAAGGTGATATTAAAAAGAAGGAACTGGCATTATTTCTAGCTAATGATGTAGCAAGAATATTCTGTATATACTCTAAACCAATTCTGCCAAATATCACTGAGAAACTATTTGAAGTTTTATTAATTCCAAAGAAAGAATCAAACGATTTGACACTTTGTAAATTAGGATATGGTTCTTCTTATGGAAAACAATACAAAGAAGGGTTGAAAATTTTGTCAAGAGTTGATTAAAAAAGGGAGTAACAAAAAAAAATAAAATAAAAAAATATATATATATCTCGTGTAAATAAATAATCTAATGTACTTTAATGAAATGATTAAAGTTGAATCAATTTGTATTTAAAAGAGTTTAGATCTAATTCTAATAATTGATTGGTAGTAGCAAATTTAGGAACTCCTATTAACTCAACATTTTCATAACTAGCTGTTAAAAAAGAAGGTTGATTACCAAAAATTATTGCTCTAGGATATTCTTTTTTCAAAACAAATGGATCATCTATCTCATTTATATCAAACGGTTGAATACTTAAAGTGTCTGGGGCTGTAGGAGCAAAATTTTGCCATTTGATAAAATTCTTCATTATTTCTAATCTATCAGAATCATTATTATAATCACCATATTTCACAATATCATTAATGGTATCACCAGCTTCTAAAAAGACTTTAAAACTGTTCCAATATGTTGGGTTTGTTTGTAAAGATAATACATCATTTGAATTTAATTGAAGTAATCTATCAAATAACTTCAAATTTATTGGTCTTTGTGGAAATAATCTATCGCTAGGATCATTCAAACTTGGAATCAAAGTTATAGTTTTGGCTCTAATAACAGTGCTCAAAAATTCATTGAACATTGCTAAATTGTTATAACTTAGTAATGAGTCACCCAGTATAACCAGGTTATTACTCTCATTGTTATAATTATGGTTAATCGCTCCTGATAAATATGATTGCAATGTTGTAAGTTTCTCAATATTGGTATCTTGAGATAGATCCAAGCCACTAATCAACAAAATTTTTGAGTTTTCCTGTTTAACATTTTCAACTGTAGGAGGTTGTAGTTTTGGTGGAAAACAGTAATCTATAACTTGTAAATCATTGTTTATATCAACGTATCCTAATATACCAACAACAACACCTGTTACAAGAATTTCTTTTTCAATATTAGTATGATCAAATTGTAAAATTATTCTACCACTTTCATCTTCAAACATAATCTCCTTATTTGAATCTTCAGAATCATCATTTCCTTCTCTATAAACATAATTATTTGGCCTCTCTGGTAAACCATACAAATCTTGAGAAACTTGATTCAAAATATCTGGTTTATATTTCATTTCTGTATAAATAGTACCTATAGCCCAGCAAAAAGTTTCAGGATCTATTGAATTAATTTCTTGATTTTTTTTTATTGATTGTGAAAGATTTGTTGGTTGAATATCAAGAATTTTATTATAAAAAGTAGATTTAGAAGGAAATTTTTTAGTTGCTTCTTCTTTAATTTTTGGTCTAAAATATTGAAGTCTGTTTGTATAAATTTTATAAAATTGGTTTAAATTTTCAGTAGTAGGATTTGTCGTTGTTTTATTTGAAGAATTAATTAAATTTGAAATGGATTTTGAAATTCTTCATTTTTCATATTCTTAATAAATGTATTATCTGTAATTGAATTTAATTTATTATCATCACTAAAATTAGATAAATTTTTTTTCAATAAATTAGACATTTCTTAAAATGAAAGTTGTTGGTTTTATAATGTTATATTTCTTAATGATAATTAAGAGCTTTTGTTAAGATTTTTAATATCGACCATCTTTAAAAAAAAAAAAAAATACTGAAATATAAAATTTACGCGTTAGTAAATTTGAATTAGAAAACATAACAAAAAAATTTTAATTTTTACTAAGCAATAAATCATGTGATTATGTCTCAAAAAATTAAAAAAAATATGGAATTAAAATGCTAATATTTTTTAAATATTCTTTCTAAATAATGATTTCTTCTTTTTTGGGATTAAGTTATTTGGTTCTATAATTAATATATATAATATCGTATATAATGTTTTTTTTTATCCAAATACAATCATTGATGCAAATACAGAGTAAAAAATAAATAATGGGTAAGCTACTAATAATCTAACATTATTTAAACTCAACATTTTTACAAATTCTCCTGAACTACTTGCTGAACACCATGAAACAATCACAAAAGATAATATCAAACCAATATTGCTATTTAAATGAGTAAAAATACCTATACCAGAAAGTATGCATAGTGGAAGGAAAGAATACCCCAATATGGAACATGTTTGAAGAAAATGTAAACCATTAACAGTATTATTATCTTTTGTAGAAGAAGGATTTGCATTATTATGGGCCTTATTTTCAATATCATTATTCATCAGTTTTAGCAAAAAGTGTATGGAGATTGAGCCAAAAAGACCAACACCGTATATGTAACCAAAATGTAACTTACCAGAATATACATAAAGTAAAGCACCGTATAGGATAACAAAAAATAAGGGGCCTGCTAGATCAATTTCGTCACTAGATACATCACCGTGGTGCTTGTTTTTAAACAATATAGATTTCTTTGTATTTTGCCATATATTTGAAAAATTTATTCCTAATTCCTCCATTAAGGGCAATTCATCAGAATAACCGGCTGTAGATAACGCATTTAACAAACCTGATGGTAGTATTTCATCAGGGTTTCTTGTATTCATAGATGGTATATGAGTTGCTGATGGGTACCCACTTCCACTCATAAAACTGTTTCCATTTAAATTATTATTCAAAGGTTGTTGTGGGTATCCATTGTTTTGGAAAGGGGTTTGTTGGTTTATAAAAGAACTTTGTTGCGGATATTGATTTTGGCTATTTTGGCCATAAAACTGATTATTGTTTGTTGATCCACCCATGTAACCTCCATTTGATGGATAGTTATTATAAAAAGACATTTTTTTGTTATATATGTTAAATTTTACAAACTCTTTTTTTTTTTTTTTTGGTTTTAATAGGTTTAATCTTTATTATATATCTTTGTATTAATATATATTTGTTATTAAAGATAATTTTTTAAACTTTTGAAAAAAAAAAAAATAACACAGAGAGTTTTTAAAACTCCACCAAACCAAAATTTGTTTCCAAAGATATTTCCCAAAAAAAATTTAAAACAAAACAGAGCATAAATTTAATTTCATCACGTGATTTTCTTAAAGGAATATAATAAAATGTGCTTTTTATTTTTAAAATTATGAAGCTAATTAGTCCTCTTGGGATTAGGTAGATTTTTTATTAAAATCGGGGTTATGATGTAATGGCAGCATTTTGGACTACGGATCCAAGCATCAGGGTTCGAATCCCTGTAGCCTCGGTTTTTTTTTTTAATTTTGTATAATTACAAAAGAATAGCTCAAAAATACAATATTAAAAAAAACAAAATAGTATAACTTAACGGGATTTGTTATTATCTGTTCATAATGTATAATCAATACCACTTTTTTTTTGTCACATTTAAAGCATTATGTATATATATATATATTCGTTTTTTTTTCTTTTTTTGGTTTTACGAAAAAAAAATTTTCCTCTTAAAGATTTGATGGGAACTGTGAAAAAAAAAAAATAATACAATATTGCAATAACAATTTAAAAAAAAAAAAAAAAGATAAATCATACAACCAAAAAATAAATAATATAGAATTCATACATTTAAAATAATTTAACAAATTATGGCAGCTGGTATTTTAGAAAGAATTTCTGACATTGAGTTAGAAATGAGTAGAACTCAAAGAAATAAAGCAACTGAAGCTCATTTATGTAAACTAAGAGCTCAGCATGCAAAGTTAACAAGAGAATTAATTGCTCAAGAAGAACAAGCCAACTCAAAATCAGGTAAGTCACAAGGTTTCGAAGTTGCTAAAAGAGGATTTAGAGTAGTTTTATGTGGTTATCCGTCCGCTGGTAAATCTACTCTTTTATCTACCATAACAGATACCAAGTCTGAAGCTGGTGCCTACACCTTCACGACCCTTACAGCTATATCAGGAATCTTGAAAGACGATAATGGTTCTGAAATATGTCAAATTGTTGATTTGCCAGGTTTAATTCCTAATAACGGATCTGGAAAAGAAAAATCAAGAGGTAGATCCAGACAAATTATGAGTACAATTAGAACTGCTGATTTAATATTAATGGTTCTAGATTCAACAAAATCCGAATATCAAAGAGAGTCTTTGGAAAGGGAACTAGAAAATGTTGGTATAAGACTAAACAAAGAAAAACCTAATATTTATTTTAAAAAGAAAGACACTGGTGGAATAAAGATCACATTCACCCAACCACCAAACCCAGATATTACTGATTTAAATGAAAAGATGATTAGAATGCTTTTGAAGGAATATAAAATACATAATTGTGATGTGCTTGTAAGAGATGAGACATGTACTTCTGATGATTTCATAGATGTTTTAAACGGTAATTTCTGTTCATATATCAAATGTCTATATGCCTATAATAAAGTTGATGCAGTCTCTTTAGAGGAAGTAGACAAACTAGCAAGAAAACCACAGACAGTTGTAATGTCATGTAAAGAAGAATTAGGTTTACAAGATTTGAAAGATGAAATTTGGTATCAACTAAATATAAACAGAGTTTATACAAAAAAAAGAGGTGATAAACCTTCATTTGATGACCCATTGATTGTAAGAAATGGGTCAACCATTCAAGACGTTTGTTCATATATACATAAAGATTTCAGTTTGAAATTTAAATATGCAATGGTATGGGGTTCATCAGCAAAACATTCTCCTCAAAAATGTGGATTGACACACCATTTGCATGATGAAGATGTTATATCTTTGTTTACAAAATAAATTAATTAAATAAAATATATACACACCGACAAATTATAAATAATAAAATTTTGAAAAAAAAAAAAAATTCACCCTTTTTTTGTAAATAAAAAATTGCGTATAAAAAAATATATAGCGTAAAAAAAAAACGCTTCAAAGAAGAAGAAAAAAAACGCTTCAAGATGAAAAAAAAAAATGTCCTATTAAAGAAATAGGGATGAGTGATATAAAAACAAAAAAGGAGAGAAAACATTAACAACCAATAAAATATAAAGTATACAATATGGGTAAACGTTTTACAGAATCTGCTCAAAAACAAAAAGAAGGAAGAGAAAGAAAAAGACAACAAGAAATTGCTAAGTGTAAGGAAGAAAAGGCTAGAGAAGAAGCCGAAGAAGCATCTAAATGGGAACAAGGGGCTGCCAAGGTTAGTAAAAAGAAGATAGATGAACAATTAAAGCAAGAAGAAAAGACCAGAAAGAAAGAACAAATGAAACAACTTTTGGCTGAAGAAGAAGCTTCTCTTAGTGGTAAAAAGAAATCTAAATAAATACATATATGATACAAGGAGAGATGAGAAAATATATCTATATAATTAATTGAAATTAATACAAATACTAGGAATTAAAAATAGCAGACAACAAATAGCTGGATGGTCTTTAATGATTTTTTTTTTTTTGTTACATTGGAAATATATAATGTAATCTTAATTATTAACTATATATAGGATATAATAAAGTTGTTCTTCTTTTTCTTAGAAAAACATTCGCAAATAAAATTCTTTTTCAATATATATTAATAACTTGAAAAAAAAATGTGGTTGTAAGAATATAAATTTTACTCAAACTATTTTATAGATATCTTTTTTTGTTGTTTTGGCTCTATTTTTTCAATTCTTATGCCAAGTTGTTTTTCAGTGAATATATCATTATAAGTTTTTAAAGACTCATATTGATTTTCTTTTAACAAAGTTTTGCATAAATCTTGCAAATACCGCCATGAGATGTTTGCAATCTTTCTCATAGCCTCAAACATCTCTCTATTCAAAGCATTGTAAATAACTTCATTTTCCTTATTTATATCTATTTTGCTTTTTATTTTAAAAAAATAAAAACCTCTTTTAGCTATACCTTCTGGTGCTAATTCTACTTTCCCAAATACAGTATCTAAATATTTATATTCATTGTATACATTGTTTTTATCAAAACGGAGTTTTATGTAGTGTTGCCAAAACAATCTTTTATAAAATTTTGTACTTTCTCTAAGTTGGTAGGTAGGTATATTAGTGTTTTTAGCTTTTGCAATTACAATGGCAGGATTAGATTTTGTTAAAGCTGCTGCAAAAGGATGAAAATCAGGAATGTAGAGTAAAGTAAACAAGTCACAATCATGAACAATAAACTGTTTTGTAGCTAAAGAGAGGTTCACATTTGCAAAAGTACCTTTAAGTTTGGTGAAATACCAATCATCTTGCCATAGAGACTGAAAACTTTCAGGTAATTTATCTTTTTTTCTTTGAGAGTTTAATAAGCCATTATCAAGGGGTAAATAATCAGAAATATATTTATTTTGAAATTTTGTTTTTATTGTGGGGAGCTTTAAAATATCCATTTCTTTCTCAACAAATAATTTTGCAGCTTCATATACCATTTTTTTAGAAATCAAATCATTATTAGAAAAAAGTCTAACTTCATCTAAATGAGAAACATATTTGTTATTTTCAAATTTTCTAACTGCTTCGGAAGAATTAATAAATTGTAAATTAATATGTTTTCTAGATCTTTGGCTATAAGTTAGATTATCAACCACTTCATAAAATCTCGCTCTGTTTAATGGATTCATCTCATCAGGATTAAATTTAATCACATTTTTATAAAAATGTCTTAATTGTAATTTTTTAAGTCCAATATTATTTAAATTCAAAAGTTTGTTACTATTTGTATCAACAATTTTTATAATATCACTGAATAAAGGTTTACCTGTGAAAAGATTAACATTTTCATTATTATAATTTTTTAAAAACAATGTAGAAAGTTTTGATAGCATTGAAATGGCATATCAAACTAATTAGTATCAGAATATATAGTATATGTTTTTCTTTTAGGTTATATATAATATATACTCATCTTTAAATTATATTTTTTTAAAAAATATATATATATATTCTAAGCAAAAGGTTGAAAAAAAAAATTAAACTTTGTAGGAGATAAACGGATGTACATCAATCTTGTGTTTATTTCTGGGTTTTTTTTTGGGTTTTTTTTTCTATATTCCACCAGCCCCTTTATCTTTTTTTTTTCTTTTTTTATAAATCTATTTAAGGTTTGGTTTTATATGTAAAATATATAGATGTTTTACTTGTTCTATTAAGTCAAACCAACAAACAAACAAATATATATATATGGGTATCTTATTTAAAGTTGTATCATTATATTCCTACAGTGGAAATGATGATTCAGATCTATCTTTTGATAAAGATCAAGTAATTGATGTTACAAGTATTGAAAATGAGGAATGGTATTTAGGAGAATATGTGAATAAAGAGAATAATGAATTAAAAGAAGGAATGTTCCCTCAAAACTTTGTTAAAAAGATAAGTAGTGAAGATGAATCAGCTCCAATTATTCCAAAAAAGCCAAAAACTAATACAGAAGAGTCATTATCCCCTGTTTCTGAAAAAAAACAAGAAGAGATTTCTAATAAAGATTCTGAAGATGATGACAAATTTGCTCCAGAAATGTCTTTAAGAGAAAGAATTGCTTTTATGTTGAAACAACAACAAAATGATTCCGAAACTTTATCTAATAAGAAAATTGAGAAATCAACTAGTCAGTCTGAGGAAATCCATACTAAAGAAACCCCTTCAAATGTTAATGTTAATGTTGATGTTGATGCTGCCGAAGATAAATATGCAAAAGAAGAGGAAGATGGAGAAGTAAAATCACCTTTAGAAAATGTATCTGCTCAAGATGCTGAAGTTGAAATTTCTGATGCAGATGATGAAGAAGCTGCTAGAAAAGAAAGATTAGTAGAGAGAATGGCTAAGTTATCTGGTGCTGGAAGAATGGGAGGTGGTTTTAATCCATTTGGAATGCCAATGCCAAAAAAAACTCCAAAAGTTTCAGAAAAGCAAGTTGATGAAACTGATGAAACAAAAAGTGATGATGAACAATCTTACAAACCACAAATGCAATTTAATATTATGACAGGAGAAGTTATTGATATGAAAGAGTTTAATTCCAAGATTTTAAAAAAAACTGATACCAATACAGATATAGAAGAAAAAGAACATGATGCAATTTTGGAAGAACCTGAGAAATTATCTGATGATGAAGATTTGGAACATATAGCAAAAACGACAACTCTTGAAAAATTGGCAAATGAAAAAAAAATTAATGATGCAAACACTGTTTTAGAGTTTTTCGATGCTAATGAACCTTTCAAGGATGTTGGAGAAAAGGGAAATGAAGAAGGACAAGAAAAAGATAATAATGAAGAAAATGAAGAAGATGATGATGTCAAT